GCTCCCAGCTCATTTTAGCTTGACGTGTTTTATAGTACTTGTTGATTCTTGCAATGATTCTGTGATTTATTTGAATAGAATTACAACTGGCAGGCATTGTGCTGTATTTTCTAAAAAAGACGAGGATTTTTTTTCATACTGCTCTGGTTGGATTCGTAGCCCTTGCCAATTTTGCCCTTTAGTCCAATGCGCTGTTTCTGCCAAGTGTAGTCATAGTCAACATACTGCTCCATACACTAGAGGCAATACAAGCATCTGGCTCCTGTGTTGTTCTGCAGTTTTGTCAATGTGGCTAGCTACGCTACTGCCAAATAAACGCTCTCCCTGCCTCCTGCCAGTAGTGATTTATAGCCAAATACATCCTTGCCCTGTCCACTTCATCCCCAAAGAAAAATCATTTTCCAATTGAACAGAATGTGGGCCTTGAGGACTGACACTACAGGGGGATCAAGAAACTGAATATTTTGTTGGCACGGCCATGTGGATGAATGATGAAAACCTAAGACTAACAGGTCTGATGTAAAGATTTTTCTTTTCACTTCTCCTTTTCATGCACATGACAGCGGATGGAATTGATGTGTGCCGCACTTAGAAAGCTATAATTATAGATGTATAATGTAGACAGGGCTTACTCAGAAGCCGCAGGCAAAATGTATTTTGTGTGTGAGCAAGGATCCAAAAGGCTGTAGAGGTATGCATTTTCATGAGGATCTGCCTTTCCAACTTAGCTCTGGGAGATGATGTCTGTTCTACATGTATTGACAGAATACGCTGCAACGCTCGGCTGAACCACGAAACCAATTCGTGTGCTTTTATGTATTGTTAAGCTGTTCTGCTGTATCTCCAGTATTTCAAATCAATATAGTGATAGTGACATGATAAGAGACGATATAAAATAAAGCAGAGGTAAAAGTACCTTTTTGTATGGTGCCCACAAACGTGACTGCTGCATCTTAGGATGTGTATCCATGACAACTTAGATTCTGGGCCGAGCTTTCAGCTTGATTCTCAACAATCTAATGAACAACATAAAAAAGTTAATAGATATTACAATAAAAACAAAGGCTTGAGCCGGAGGCTTGAACGTGAATGATTTAAAGAAAAGCAAGAATGGCTTGGGGAGCAAAAGTACTAAGTGTACTGCACGATAGATCTAATTCTTGTGTCAAGGGACTGTCTGCCTGCATAGTAAGAGTGTGAAGCTTTGCACCAGTGTCTCATTAGGACAAGGACAGCTGTGCAGAGGCGGACAGCCTGTTTCCAGAGACACTGCTTGAGTCACAGTAGGCCAACGAGCAATTGGAGAACACTTGCTACATGCTGTGTGACTCAGAGGGCCACACGGATGCTCAGTCAGATATGGATGCTGATCCCTCGTCAGGAAAGAAAGTTTTTGTGAAAGTCAGAAAGCAGCTTGGGCGTTGACACCGAAGCTGCTACCAGGGTTGTTATCAGTCCCAGGAAGCAGCCTGCAGCTCAAGGAGATGTCCTCTGTTCCAGTTTTCTGGAATCCATCAACATCTTTGGAAGCCAAGCCCCACTGGGGTTGAGACTCCTGAGTTTGGGTTGCTTTGAGCCAAGCACCTCGAGATTCCACTGAGAGGCTTTGATGGCAGTCTGCATTGTGGAAATTGGTGTAGAACAGTTGAAGCTTCTGTTTCTCCCCAGCTTTGGAGCTCCACAGCTAAACCAACCAACGAAAAGTCTTTCAAGACACAGTTAAACACCTGCCATGCCTCAGAGGAAGGACTTTTAAAAATTTCAGAGTGTTTCTTTTTTATTAACCATAGCCTAAATGCTAGAGGTTCCTGACACAAGAGGGCATTATGAAAGCTCTGGGCATTACTTTATGCTAGAGGGTATTTTATGAGGCTAAATGTTCTGACGGGGATGAAAATATATTTGATAAAATGGTTGGCCTGCAGCCAGGCATCTTATTAAGTCAGCCAAGCAAGACAGTACTGCTTTCATCCTATCTGACTAAGAAATCAGCCAGACGCTTGCCTCCTGTACTTGCTTCATTTTTTAGAGGCCACCCAGTCTTTTCAGTCATTGTTTTTTCAAATTTCAAGGACTTGCAACATGAAAATAAAACCCAAAATTATGTACGGTCACCACAGAAAATATGGTGATACAGACTGTGCTTTCTTTCTACATTAAGATGTATCAGGAAAGTCTGTGTCGTACAGTTTGCAGCTTGATTCTCTGAGAGCAGCCACATTCACGAATTGCTGTTGGCAGCTGAGTGTGGGTTGGACCCCTTGGCCAATCAAGTCCCCTCTGCCTAAGGACACACTTGGGATTTTCACTTGCTGTTCGAAATGTAAGCCAGCCTGTCAATCACAACTCCAGGCCCTCCTGTGATCCCTGACCCACTGGTACTCTTGCCATGGCAACACAAACCCCAGTAGACTTTGATGTCAAGAACAGGAGTTCTCAAAAATATGAAAGACAAGCATCTCTGATCCAGTGCAGACACACACGGATATGCCCTGGATCAAAATGTCTTGGTCATATGAGTAATATATTAAATCATATTATATATATTATATATATATTAATCTTTTATTTTATTTTATGAGAAATATCAGAGCCATGGTATAACTGTCCCCTAACCCCAAAATAAATCTATATTCAACTTAAAATAAACATTTCATCTTCAAATCATCCCTCCCAAAAATCTGCTTAAGCTAATTCATACTTGCACGAAGGAGGGGAGGAGAAAAGCTTTGTATTTGCTCTCTTTGGAAGCAAAGTGGCAAGCAATGCTATTATTTGTTCAGGGTAATAGTTTCTCCAAGCAGCTTCAAGCAGAACTCAGCATAAAAGTCAGCAGCAGTGCAGATGGAGTTCCCCTGCGGTTGCATATGCTTGAAATAAGGAATATGAGAGATTAGTTTCAATAGTGGCCACTCATTTGTCACATTTATGCAGTTGTATTGGCTGACCAGCGGTGCTTTCAAATATAAGTATGGATTAAAAACATTCCCTCAAAGACTGTTTGATCCTCAATACAAAAGTGACAAAAAACAAGGGAGAAAATTACACACGATATAATTTGGATGGGAATTATTACGAATTTAGCAGTTCCAATACTGATGGCATTTATGGATTTGATTCCTTATCAATTCTCATTGGGTTCTCACTTACTCTAAGTCACCACCACTAAGCAGCATATCAAAGGCATTAGATTCAGGTGACCCTGAATCCTCCCTTAGTTATGCTGCAATAGGTGTAGGCTGCTGGAGCATTCCCATGATGCACTGAGTATTTTTTTCAGTTACCTTTCTCACTCACTCTGTGTTAATAGACCTCTCTGCATTGAATCACACTTGTTAATAATCTCTCGCTCCCTTCCACAGCATGTCTTTTGTCCCGTCTTCCTTCTCTCACCCCAACCAGTCGCGGCAGATGGCCGCCCCTCCATGAGCCTGGTTCTGCTAAAATTTTCTTCCTGTTAAAAGGAAGTTTTTCCTTCCCACTGTCGCCAAAGTGCTGCTCATATGGAGTAATGTGATTGTTGTTTTTTTTCTATGTATTATTGTGAGGTCGCCTTGAGGTGACTGTTGTTGTGGTTTGATGCTGTATAAATAGAATTGAATTGAATTACATTTATGCAAATAAACTGCATGCTGTGTGGTTAAATATTTGTATGTTGAAGGTCGGGGCGAGGGTGGTTTAGAGGGTTGGTTAGTTCATCTTGTAACCGGAAGGTTGCCGGTTCAATCCCCGGCTCTGTCTGTCTTGGTCGTTGTGTCCTTGGGCAAGACACTTCACCTACTACCTACTGGTGTTGGCCAGAGGGGC